CCCCCTCCAGACCCGCACTGCTTCTGCCTCTTATATTAGGATGTCTGAACAATTTAAAGCCCAAGATAATGAAAGCTAAGAAGAAATAAAGCATGTTGTTGTTAAATAAAAAATAATTTGATCGGTATGTAGCATAGATGTACACTATAGGAGATAACTCTTATGGTATGTAGCAATACAAGTCTTCTTTTTCGGACTTCATGCCATATTGTGTTACATTCTGTAGAAATTGTAACACTTCCATGTTGCCATATTCCAGGGTCAGATGGATAAACCCGAGTGGCGAGTAGGGCCATATTTTGGTCAGGTGGTCTTCATTTAAAAAATAGTAAGGTTTTATTATTGCAAAATCAAATCAAGCTGATCCCACTCCCCGTGTGTTGATTTTTTTGTTGTTGTTGTCTAAAGGTTTGTGTTACATAATACTGTAAAAAAAACCCAAAAAACCCGAGAAATAAAACAGTTAGGCCTAAAAGAAAAGAACCACAATAACAGGAACAAGAACTGCAAAAAATAAATAAATAAATAAACAACAACAAAATGCATTTCTGTTAGCCCCACTGGCAAGAACGCTGTGGCAGGAAGGAGGCAGCCTGTTGACGGCACGCCAGGCTAGGCCTACACCTTCCACCCACCGCTGCGACAATCATCGCAAATGGGTCAAAGTGAAGAGGTCAGTTCCGGTGTGATAGCACCGCTGTCCCCGAAAAGTGTGTGTTGCTTACCGTGTGTTGTGTACCCGTTTTCGTTCAGCGCGAAGCTGCATTTTCAGGAAGTACAGTAGATGCGATTCAGCGAGACGGTCATTTAGCAAGTATTGGCATTTTTTTTACAAAGAGTATATTGTGTAGACAGCCAGTCTTTCAAGGTTTTCTCCTTTGTCCGTCTGAATCATCCTAAAACACAGGTGCAGGTGAGTAAACGAGACCTCTGTAAGACTGCTGGCTTAGCTTGTCACTGACAATAGTACGCTTCGTTGAGTCGTCACCGCTGCCACAACGATTTAAGCTTATTATTCCCTTTATCATAATTTTGTTTGTTTGTTTTTGTTGCTTTGGTTAGTCTTTGGTCAAAATTCTTTGCAAGTACAATTAATACTTTCATATTTAAATTCTGCCATTGTCGTTGTGTCAGTATGAGTATGAGGATGAGAGTAAGGGTCAAGCTGATCATAAACTTGGAGCTAATTATGAGTTCAGGAAGTAGGGGGCAAAACGTGAAAGAGAAAGGAACAAGGAAAGGGCCTCAGGCCACAAGGGCTTGACTCCTCGGCTTTGTGATCTTTGGGTTGTGTATTATAATGTTTATTTAGCTTTGAGTTAGTGAAGACGTGGCTAAAGCATTTTTGAAGACTTTGCCAGCCTGTTTATACAGCAGTAGGCTGTCGGATGTATAACGACTTTGCCGTGACCACCCCAACTAGATCTAGATCTAGCACAATAAAGAAAAGGGCTACCAATATTCCGGCGGGAATAACATTTCTCTTATCCCCC